CAGTTGCAATGGTTTAATAACCATTAACTCAAGAGATGTAATTGTTGGTAAATTAACCTTAATTTCAAAGGTTGCAATGTTTAGTAGATAACTATAAACTCAAGAGTTGCAATGGTTGATAAAATGACTGTAATCTCTAAAATTGCAATGTCTAGTAAAATAACCATTAACTCAAAAAGTGCAATGATTGGTAAATTAACCTTAATTTTAAGAGTTACAATGTTTAGTAAATACCTATAAACTCAAGAGTTGCAATGTTGATAAAATGACCATCATCTCTAGAAATGCAATGTCTAGTAGATAACCATAAACTCAATAGTTGCAATAGTTCACCGAAATAACTATAACACTTAAATCTCCAACATTCATTTCCTATTAAAATATTATAATAGATTCACTAAATAAACAACACATATACAAATAAAAAACCAAAAGACATCATCATACAATGGCTAGAAGTTATATAAAATATATTTAATGAAAGACACAACGGTTCATTCGTAGTTTTTCCCAGAAATGTATAAGTTAAAAAAAAAACAAAAAGACATAACTTTATAATAATGATATCTTTCATATTAATAACTGTTATACACACAAAGGTACTATTAATTTAAAAATAATAATAAATACAAAGAAAAAATAATTCATTCATAGCTTTCATATCATTAGTTTCTTCACATATTTAGGTTTTTTTCTGGTTCTTCCTAGCCTTTTCTTTTGTCTTGAAACTTTTTTTTTTGATTTTTCATTTTCTTATTTTCAAGACTAAAATCTTCATCACTTTCACATAAATTGGTTTCTTCTTTGTCTTCTTTTTTCTCTTCACATCTAAACCTATTAGTTGCATTATATACTTTCGAAAGTACATCTTTAATTCTCATTATCGTTTGGTATATCATGTTTACTATGTCAATAAATTATATAACTATTATAGTATAACCAAAAGTAGTGCTACACTTGCATATTTAATGATAAAATAAATTTTAAAATCAGATATTAAAATATAACTAATAAACTTATAGGACAAAAGATAATGTTTCCTTCTAAGATTAGTGATAAACTTGCCAAAAGAATTACCATTTTTCTGTTTAGTCTTAATTTTTTGAATTTTCTTTCAAAAATATTTTTCTGGATATTAAGCTGATGTGAGACCCTCTAATTTATTTATGGTTGAATATAATTTAAAAGAGAAATTTTAAAATAGAACTAAAAACTCATAGGAAAAATATTATGTTGCCTTTTAATATTAGTATTATAATTACCAAAAGAATTACCAGTTTTAGTCCAAATTATTTGGCTTTTGTTCCAGAAATATTTTTTTGGGGAATGAGCCGATCTTTCACGTTCTACTTGAAATTTCTCTTTATTCATGGCTAACCATATACTTAAAAAAACTAACACCATTTTGGTAAAAATTAGAATTAAGTTAATTTGAGGTTTTTCAACAAAAAATTTTGTGTATAAAGTGTTGTTTTTCAAAATTATAAAGCATTATAAAAAAATTAATAAAAAAATAACGAAGAATGTAACAACATATATACAATCTTGAAAAGACATAAGCATTAAGAGAAGTAAACTTTAATAATCGGTGGTTATGTACGAAATGGTACAATTAGTAAAATAAAACAAAAAGACACATCTATAGAATTGTAAACACTGAATAAATTAGCAGTTATAGTCGAAAATGTATAATTAATGAAAAAAAAAATAAACAGAAAAACACAATGATCCACTCATAGTTTTTATTTTATAGAATTCCAAATGGTACAAATGAATAGTTGCAATAGTTTAGAAGAAGCATAATTCCAACAGTTGCAATAGTTTATTAACAATTAACTCAATAGGTGCAATGGTTGGTAAAATAACCTTAAACTCAATAGTTGCAATGTTTAGTAAATAACATAAACTCAAGAGTTGCAATAGTTGGTAAAATAACTATAATCTCTAGAATTGCAATGTTTAGAGAAATAACCATAAACTCAAATACTCAATAGTTGCAATGGTTCATTAAAAAAAAGGTAACACTTAAATCTCCAACATTCATTCTCCACTAAAATATAATCATAAATTCACTAAATAAAAAACACATATACTAATTACAAACAAAAAGGCACAACCATACAATAGCAAGCAGTTATATAGATAAAAATACAATTTAAAAAATATTAATGGAAGGACATAATGGTTCATTCATAGTTTTTCACAGAAATATATAATTTTAAAAAAAGAAACAAAAGACACAACTTTATAATAATGATAACCTTTTCATATTAATAACTCTTATACACATAAAATATTAATAAAAAAAGATAAAATGGTTCATTCATAGTTATTTATATCTTTATTTTCTTCATAGATTTAGTTTTTTTTTGTTCTTCCTAGCATTTTCTTTTGTCTTGAATTTTTTTTGTGATTTTTCATTTTCTTATTTTCAAGACTAAAATCTTCATCACTTTCACATAAATTAGCTTCTTTTTATCTTCTTTTTTCAATTCACATCCAAATCTTTTAGTTGTATTATTTACTTTAGAAAGTACATCTTTATTCTTCATTATAGTTTGGTATATCATGTTTTCTGTGTCAAATAAATAATATAACTATTATAGTAGGAGTATAACCAAAAGTAGTGCTACACTTGCATATGTAATAATAAATAAAAAAATCAGATTTTAAAATATAACTAATAAGTTCATAGAAAAAAAGATTACATTGACTTCTAAAATTAGTGATAAACTTGTCAAAAAGAATTATTATTTTTTCGTTTAGTCCTAATTTTTTGATTTGCTTTTCCAAAAAAAAAAACATTCCTGGATATTGAGAGGGTGTGAGACCTTCAAATTCAAGATCTTCTTTATTTTTGGCTAAATAGAATTTAAAATATTAAAATAGAACTAAAAAAACATAAGAAAAAATATTATGTTGCCTTTTAATATTAGTAAAATAATTGCCAAAATAATTACCATTTTTTTGTTTAGTCTAATTTTTGTAGTTTTTGTTCCAAAAATATTTTCTTGGAAATGAGCAGATCTTTCATCTTTCATTTGAAGTGTTTCTTTATTCATACCTAACCATCTACTAAAAAAACTTTTTTGTAACACCATTTCGGTAACGATTGCTTACAAATGAACAATTTTTTGATTAAGGAATTTTAAATTTATTTGAAATTTATCAACAATAAATTAATATATAAGGTGTTGTATTTTAAAGTAAGAGAGAATTATAAAAAAAACTTCAATAGAAAAAATAATGAAGAATGAAATAAAATATATATATAATCTTGAAAAGACATAAGTATTAAAAGAATCAATCTTTGATAATCAGTGGTTATATATGAAATGGTACAATTAATAAAATAAAACGAAAAGACACAACTGTAGAATGATAAACTTTGTATAATTCAGTAGTTATACATGAAAATGTATAGTTAAATAAAACAAATAATAATTAGAATGACACAATGGTTCAATGGTTCATTCATAAAAGCAACTTTTGATAATCAGCAGGTACAATTAATAAAACAAAACGAAAAGACATAACTATAGAATAATGACCTTTATATAAATTAGCAGTTATACATGAAAAGATATAGTTAATTAAAACAAATAATAATTAGAAAGATACAATGGTTCAATGGTTTTTTCATAGAAGCAACATTTGATAATCAGCGGTTATATATGAAATGATATAATTAATTGATGATATGTGAATATCAAACAAGGGACAAAACAGTAATTTAGATCGGCAAACTCGGATTTTATTAGATCGGTCGAGAATACAACTGAGTTCGGTTATGTAAACGATAAGCGAACTAAAACTTAGGAAACTAAGAAGCTAAAGTTTTGAGTTCTCAGTCTCTAAGTCTCTCGGGAATTTATTGTGTCTTCTGGTGTCGATTCCTCTTCCTTTATATATGTCTTCTAAGTCGGTCTTCATGGGTCTTCTCTGCGATATGGGACCGAGAAGGTTTTCCTTTTCTTTCGGTCGTTTTCCTTTTCTCTTGGCAGTTTCTTTTCTTCTCGGAAATTTCCTTTCTTCTCGGAAATTTCCTTTTTCTACTTGGAAATTTTCTTTTTTCATCCAAACTCGGGGAACTTTTCGATTCCTTTGAGAAGTTTAGACCGACTTCGGCTTATCGGGCTATGTTTAGCCCAAGAGCTCGCCCGACCCAATTTTCCCGGTATAATTCCTTTGTAAATCGGGCTTAATTCATGTCGATCTTGGTTTGTACCGGAGAAAACCGAAGGTGCGGTTTTCACCTCCAACATTACTAAAATAAAACTAAAAAACACAACCGTAAAATAATAACATTTATAAATTAGCAGTTATATATGAAAAAGTATAATAAAAAGATATAATGGTTCAATGCTTCACTATATGAAATGGTACAACTAAAAAAATAAAATAAATAGACACAACTATAGAATGATAATCTTTATATAAATTATCAGTTATAAATGAAATGAAAAAGTACAATAAAAAGATACAATGATTCAATGGTTTATTCATAGTTTTTTATTTTATTATTATTAATAGATATCTTTTTTGTTCACTATAAATATGTAAACGAGATGAAGAGTCTTTTAGACCTAAGCAAGTAGCACAGAATAGGGAAACGTATCAGAAATAGCTATGAGATCATTTTATTTAAAAAAAAACAAAAAAAAAAACTATGAGATCATGCATGATGAACTTCTTATTAAAAGACTTGGTCAAATTACATTACTAAAAGAGTTGTGTCCAATGAAAAGAGGGAGAGAGTGAGTGTGGTACGTTACTATGTAGTAAATAAATTTAGAAAAGTAGCATTAATCCCGGCAAAATAAGGGTTTCGCTAGGAGCAGGAAAAGGTGGTATGCTATAATGGCCCATGCAGGTTTCGAACCTGCGACCTTCGCGTTATTAGCACGACGCTCTAACCAACTGAGCTAATGGGCCATTTGTTTGTTAAACAAAAATTATTGAAAATAGTATTTAAATCGTTTTTACTCAGATTGTTAGTCAAAGGAAATGCAAGGAAATGTCGAATAGTTGGTGAATGATGATTATTTCTGTGTAATTTATCTCATTAGCTCTTGTGACTTGTCTGAGTTGTCTCTGCAATAAGTTCACGATCATCTTCCCCCAAACTTTTCCAGGTAAACCCAGAAAATACCTTAGAGGCTTAGATCATATAATACACATGTGCTTGTAATGCGTAGAATTGTACAATTTGGAATAGATCGTTCTTACCTTTACAGACTCTAATCTGGAAATTAGAATCCAAAAAAAATATGAAGCCTAAAATCCATTTCTTGATTTTTCTGTTTGATCAAAATCTGAAATTTGAGTGATTTAGAAAGAGTTTGGTGCTGCAGATGAATCAAGTTTGGAAAATTTTCTCTCTGAACCAATTACAACCCTAAATTCCTAGAGAGTCCAATCTAAAGATATTTCAAAAGATGAAACTTTGATGTGATTAGAAAATTATGTAGTTTGAACAGTTTTGGACTCACTGTCTGAGATTGAAAGATCAAGTTTCTGTCTTTCTTTTGATTCAGTGTCTGATTTTAGTGGATTCTATAACTCTCAGATTTTATTCCATCTAGGATTTTGAGACGAACCTTAAAAGTGATTAAAGATGGCAGAACAATATGTAGTTTGAACAGTTTGGATCTAAGTGCCCTGTTATCTGAAATTGAAGATCAAGTCTCTGTTTTTTTTTTGTCTTTGGTTCAGTGTCTGAGTTAAGTTCTGAAATTTGATTTCTGATTTGTAACTTAAAATGGTTAGAAAGATCTCCCAATGGCTGAGTCAGCGAGCAACATCCCTTCAAAAAAGCTCATCCAAATCGATGTAAGCTCGGATACAGTTTGCCCATGGTGCTTTGTGGGGAAAAAGAATCTTGACAAAGCAATTGATGCATCTAAAGATCAATACAACTTTGAGGTTAAAACTCTCTCTTTTGTTTACTTGGAGAATGATGAAAACGCTTATGGTATTCAATTTGTGACAATGTAGATTCGATGGCATCCGTTTTTCCTTGATGCATCTGCACCCAAAGAAGGTGTGAACAAGAAAGAGTTTTATCAACTGAAATTTGGAAGCAGAGTTGAAGGAATGTTCACCAGAATGTCCGAGGTTTTTTTAACTTACAATTCTTTAAGAAAGCTTATGTTCTTGTTGAGAGAATCTTGAAATAATCTTGCTTCATTACAGATCTTTGGAAGTATTGGGTTAGATTATGACACATCCGGTCTCACGTAAGCACCAAGAGTTTTTTCTCCTATAGATTTCTTCTGTTTGTTTTTCTAAATGTTTTGGTGATATGAACAGAGGCAACACTCTGGATAGTCATAGACTTATACATTATGCCGGGAAACATGCGCCGGATAAACAACATAGCCTTGTTGAAGAGTTGTGTCTCGGTTATTTCACGCAGGGAAAGTACATTGGGGACAGGTAGATACACAGTTTTTTTTATCACAAAGATCTTGTCGGAAGAATATGTGAAATGGTTTAATGAGTTCTTGATTTAGTGCTTGTGATGAGTTGGCTTTGATTATCCTTAGATGTTAAACCGAGAAAAACTCGGTAACTTGTTGATGAATTCAGGGAGTTTTTGGTTGAAACGGCCAGAAATCTTGGCATAGAAGGAGCAGAAGAATTCATCTCAGAGCCCAACAATGGAGTAACAGAGGTTTGTTTTCATGTGGTTATTAGCTTTTTCCATAGGATAGTATTGAATGATATATTCTGATCATTTTAAGTATTGAAGGTGGAAGAAGAGATGAAGAAGTATTCACGGAATATCACAGGAGTTCCACATTACATTGTAAGTTTATGTGCTGCAGATCGATTGCCACTATAAGATCAACGCAAATATCCTCTAGTTACAGTGAAACAGACGGCAATTTTTTAAATATCTCCTTAGTCTTGAGTCATGTGTCTCTTCTTTGTATTGTTTGGTCAGATCAATGGGAAGGTGAAACTGAGTGGTGCGCAACCGCCCGAGACGTTTCAGAGTGCGTTTGAAACGGCCTCAGCTTAAAACACAAAACAGTGAACTCAAGAGTTGTTGAAGTTTTTTTTTTTATGTCCATGGAGATTATGTCTGTTCTCTTGTTTGAGCTTGTGAGTTCTCACTTTTCAAGAACTTGGTGTAATAATCAATACAGATTTGGTGTTTTTGATGGTTTGTCTAATGATTCAGAGAAGTTAATTATAAACAACATTCTTATTATTCTGCTTCTTGCTCTGATTTCAGAAATGCAAAAGATTATTTCTGAGATCAAAGAGCAATGTTTCACGTGAATAATAAGAATTATTTCTGAGATCACGTGAAATCGTTACCACAAATAAAAAGAAAACGTTTTATTTGTGGTAAGATGTGATCATGTGAAACGTAAAGATTATAGAATGATCAACGGTATACAATTTTTAATAGGTTAATCTTCAATATCTAATTTGTATATATATAGCATCTCTTGGAATTTGAGATTTAACAAAGACTTTTGGTTGAAGATAGAAAGAGACGTGAAAGGCACACGTACGTAGCTTCGAGATAGGATAATTTTTTAAGTAAAAATGTTTTAGATTTAAGATAAATTGTTTTTATTTTCCTGTTGTGAATCAAGTACGAAAAAGCAATAAACAAAAATCGCAAATTGAGGCAAACATTCGTTTAGAGTTTTCCTATTATTTGTGTGAATAAATAATTATAAACTCTAAACCTTGTATTTATATCTTCAAAAACCCGACTCTTAAATCCACTAGAAAAAGGAAAACCTAAATCGACTCAACTCGCTCTAGCAGGATCCATTTAGAATATTTTGTCACTTAGAAACAATAAATTTTATAATATGTTTAACTATTGATTATAAATAAAGATGTTAAATCAAATTAATCTGTTTATTTAATCCATTTTGAATTTCTAAAAAAAAATTTAACTAATCCAAAAAATATATAATCTTCAATACATAATATTAATATGCATCATTTAATGATTTTAGTTTTTGTGTTCAGCTCATGAACACTTACAAAAAATTAACTTTTTTATGTCTAACTATTTATAAATTAAAAATATATTTTTTAATTTTTATTTATATATATATATATATTCAAATAAAATATAATAAATTATTGTTGGATAAAATAAAATCATTTATAGGACCTATCAGGTAGGTTCGACCCATGAAAGGTTCGGTCCACGTAAGGTCCGAATACGTAGTAAGGTCGGACCGACATAAGTTCCAAATGATGGAAAAAGGTTCGACTAACAGAAGGTTCGAATAAGGAAAAACTTAAACCGACAAAAGGTCCGAATCTTCTAGAGATAACGACGAATAACCTACACGTCATCCTAATCCAAAAGGCTTATAAAAGGAGGAGTTCCCGAACGACAAAGGGCACGAAGCAATAAAACCTTATAAAAGGAGGAGTTCCCGAACAACAAAGGTCATCCTAATCCAAAAGGCTTATAAAACCTTAGAGAGCATTTTTTTTAGCAATAGCTTAGCACCTGCAATATACTTGTAGTTCAGAACTTTGTTATTGGAATAAAGATCTCTTTTTTTCCTATCGATCCGTAGAACTGTCTTTCATTCGAACCTGTTAAAATTTCCCCAAACAGTTTGGCGCTAGAAGGAGGGGCTTTACAGTTTTAACTACATGAGACATGTCGAACGGAGAAGATAACAATGATGTCCCTGGGAACACCAATGTTCCAACTGATCATGCTGCTCAATTAGAGGCACTTACAGCCCAAATGAAGCAGAATGAAGAGCGACTTGCACAAATTGAAGCAGAAAACGCTTCCATAAGGGAAGCGAAAGCTGCTCTGACTGGTGATGGAAACACATATGTCGATCCTCGTGCCAGGTTTCGAACACGGGTCCCCCTAATGTTACCATTGGATGATACTGTTCGACTAACGGGTAATAGGTCCACACAACAGCGTGAGAACGACATACAAGAAGCCGATGGAACACGTGATACCCAAACTTTACATGCACCTACTGGTCCGACAACTCATCCAACAGAAGACATCCAACTGAATCATATGATTTCGAAGCGATTGGAAGCTATGGAAACCTTGATTGGAAGACTTCCAAGAGTAGCTCCTCCAATCACAAAAAGTGCACATAATTCTTATGCTGATACCCCGTTCACAGATGCAATTGCGCTGGTGGAGATGCCAAGGAAGTTTACACTTCCTACAATGAAGATCTACGACGGAACGACAGACCCAGATAACCACATAGCACAATACAAGCAGAGAATGTTTACAACGGCAGTTGCAAAAGAACTCCGTGAAGCTACCATGTGCAAAGGATTCGGTTCGAGTCTTACGGGACCAGCCCTTCAATGGTTTACAAATTTTCCAAATGCTTCGATCGACTCCTTTTCGTCACTAACAGATTGCTTCGTTGAACAATTTGCAAGTAGCAGGAATTTGGAGAAGACAGCTGACGATCTTTATGAGGTCGTGTAGAAGAGAGGTGAATCCTTGCGAAGTTATGTGGGACGATTCAACAAGGAAAAAGTGTCTATTGATGTGTCGTGTCAACTGCGTGAGGGAACAAGTTTTACCCTTAACAAAACAAATGAAAGCCGCAAGTGCACAACTAATCAGTTGCAGTATTTAGGGATCGAATCCACAGGGATTTGTGTGCCTGGTATTCTTCTACGGTTTTTAACTTTATGTCTAGACTAAATTGGTTTTAAAGGTTGGTTGTTTTTCTTGCGAATTATACTAAAACAAAAGAAAGCAAATAAATCTATCCTAAAAAGCAGGTAAGAAAATCGAATGAAATGCAATTAGAATAAGCAAATATCGAATGAAAGACTAATAAGGCAAGTAAAATATCGCATGAAAGGTAAATAAAGCAAGTAAATAATGAACTAAGGAAATTGAAATGCAGGTCTAAGAAAGCAATAAAAATCGATGGAGTTGTAAACTATGGCTAAAAACGCTGAGCTTTTGAGAACTCTAAGGGATCATAATCGGTTTTTAACACTAGGGTAGATAGATTGGGATTGACAGATAACAATATATAGGTTCTAGAGCTAGAGTACGGCGGTATGACTACGTCACTGTCGTGATCATAACCAACTGTTTCTCGCAACCCTGACCAGTAGGTTTCCACTCTGGCCCTGGAAGAGAGAGAACACAAGAGCTGCACAAGACTCGTCAATACTCACGATCTCACCGCAGGTAGGTTTCCACTCCTACGGAAAAATCGCCTGTTTCATTCTAGGGCTGATACTTAATGAAAACTTTCGCAACACTAACTATCTAGATCAGATACTAGGTGATCAATCAAGCATACATGCAATAAGAACAAGAATAAACAGAGAACAGGTCGAAATCCCAGATCTATAAACCTAGATGTCTTAATCGATTATGAGAGCCCCTTTCGGGAACCCTAAGCCCAACTCGGGATCTACTCAGACATGGCTGAGTTCGACATCATCATTGGTTTTAATAAAAGTAGTGAAAAACAGTAAAGAAAAGAGATTAAAAAAGCTTCTCTATTGCAGAACTCGGACTTGAACAATCTTCTACAAAAATCTCATAAAAACGGCTAAAGGAAAAGGATTTATGTAAAGTATGAAGGGTTGTCTCTAAAAACGACCTAAATGACATGTATTTATAGTCTCCAATACTCCATGGTCTCTAGGGTTCCGGAATTGAGGCTGAGAATGACTTTGGGCTTCAGATAAGTGGGCTTTAACTCGGAGATTGATTGCCGCGGTCGGGAGTGTTGTGACCGCGGCAAATAGCTTGTTGGCCGCGGTCGGGAAGCTTCTGACCGCGGCAAATAGCTTGTTGGCCGCGGTCGTGTGAGTTGCTGACCGACTTCGAGTGGCTCCGGGGCTAATGGAATATCTTGAGATCCAACCGTTGGAATGTCTCCAAACCAAGTGCATTTGGAAGCTGGTTGATTCTTCTATAAGTTATCCAATTTTGAGGGTGATCAGACGGTGAGAAGGTCTTCGTCTCTCCATGAGAGTTCTGACGGTCTGCATTTATCCAAAAGAGTTTTTTTGTTCCATTTTGTGCCTCTTTATCTCAAATTACCTGAAAAGTCTTTTAAAATCCGGAAACATAGAAATCCTTTGAAAACCTTTGAAAATGGAGTAAAAACACCTGTAAAAGATATTAAAATGATCCATAAAAATGGTCAAAATCCGGTGTTATCAACTCCCCCAAACTTAGTTTTTTGTTTGTCCTCAAACAAAACAAAGGCTAAATCTCGGCGAGAGGATTGAAAACGCAGGAACTAAACAAAATCTCAGAGACCAAACTTCTAGACCAATATCAATCAGTATGCATCAATCGAGAATAGCCTAGAAAATTCTCACTAGCAATACAGGCATAACTAGTCCGTTAATTCGTCATGCAGAAATCTATGCACTAAGATCTAACTTCCAGTCAACTAGCTCTTAACATTCATCAAAAATCTTGGTGGTTCTCATCAAAGAAAATCTAGGCAAGGCAATCTAGGCTAGGTGTCAAAAAGGATTATTTTGGGGGTAAGGCTTAAAGTGTTTAAGGGTTACCTGAAGATCTAGAGGATGCAGGACATTATGCAAAACCGCAAGAGAGAGTGAAGCTGTTGGTATCCACAGTTTTCAGTCACTTTCTTCTTGACATAGATTTCTGGTCTTCTTCCTCAGGTTCTCTCCAAACTCCCCCAGACTTATATTTTTGTAAATCTTTCAAGAACATAGCTCTATGAATGAATAGTGGTTGCTTATTGCTCCACGAATTTTGACAATCTAAGACTCATTAGGCTTTTCGTTTCCCTTTCTCTTTTCACGTTTTTTTTTTTTTTTTTTTTTAGAGAAAGGGAACACCTTTAGATATAGAGTTTTAGAGAGCACGAAATTACCAGTCAATATCTGTCTTGTAAAGCTTCATGATGTTTCTGATACTCTTCCTTCCCAATTCCATTCAGTCTCCTTTGTGAGTGACTGAAAACTGCGTCGCTCCTCTTCTATCCGACGTTTTGCACATATCTGCTGATATACTCTAAAGAGAGAATGCATGAGGATTGAAAACAAGGCTTTTGGGTTTAGGGTATGGTACCAGATAAAGATAAACTGGTCATCTAGGACGACACATAGTGGTAAAAGTGATGGTAAAAGAAGTCGTAGATGTGTATGTCGATGTCTGCCTAAATCAATGATGAGAAAATTAGATATCA